CATATTGGTTGTGCACACACATGTTTTTGTTCTTTTTTTTACGAGAGCGAGTGTGGCGCCAGCAGAACACCCACACGTTGGCCCCTTCCCCGCCCACTTATTTTCCTCCTGAGCCTTTTTTCAAGGCGGCTAACGACAGGGCAACTCAACGGGGGAAATGAGGGGGGAAAGCGGCGACTAGGCGTGAATTATGACCTATTGAAACCTCAAACAAGACCCAAGCTCAACAACAACAGCCGGCAACAACTCACTGACTCACGTTTTCCCCCTTTTTTTCCCCCCGATTTTCCCCAAACACACTCCTTTTTTTTCCTGGGGTCTCAGGACGCTTCTTTCTCGCCCCTTTTTCCCCCCCGTATGTCTGCAATTTTTACTTTATGACTTTATTCTGTCCTCGTTTTATGCATTTTTTATGCCGCTCCGTTGCGGTTTTCTCACTTTGTTGGCCGACAAATCCACTAGCAGAGCCACCCCTATGGCCAGGAATGGGTTAATGTCCCACAGCGCCGCTCCCCCGATCCTGTTTCTGTTTGAGTTTGTTATCCCTGCTGCATTATTTATGCATTATTTAGCTGAAGCGACAATTATTGGCTGTCGGACAGCTTAATGGGTGTAGGTTAACGTTTTCCACATGTGAAAAATGGGAGTATATTATGCAACGTTAACACCACCGAAGGTAGAATATAGTTTTGCGTTGGAAAAATGTATATGCATGATTAATGGTTTCCTTGTTCCATAATAAAAATAAAAATAAACTTTTCACAAAAGAATTCAATTATTATTATCAAATTTATGGCATGAACACATAAAAGTTAATACCAGAAGGTATTTTAAGATATTCAAGCAACTACAAAACCCTTTGCTCCCATTATTTTTAACCACCATAAAAAGGCACCAGCAAAACTGCAATTAAAAAAAATCTAAAAAAAATATCGTACATGGTAAATTTTCCACGTGTCGACATTTAGGTCCAATAAAAAATATGAAACGAAACCGCCTCGTGTCGTGATAAAAATCTATAGTTAGAAACTAAAACTACCAAATGTGAAACCTAAACAAGACGAGAATTTGTTGCCACCCAAAAATGATGAAACAGACATATAAAAGTGAGGGCAGCTCAGTTGGCTTTAATGCAATTATGTACATATATACAATGAAAAACCGAGAAGGGGAAGAGGGCATGAAACATCAGAGAAAGTGGGAAAAAGTTTAAGTGAGGAAATTGCGTGCAAAAGGGAAGAAAATTTATTGGAAAAACAGGACGAAAAACGAAATTAAACACGCGCAGTGGAGCCACTTCGCCGTCTCCTTTCATTTTCCCCCGCATAAAAAGTCTGAATTATGTTCCATAATAAAAAGTTATGACTGTAAAATTTTTTAATTGCACATTTGGGACTTTTTTTGTTTATTTAATTTGAAATTCGTTCTTTGCTCAGACACCGCAAGGAGTTTTATTGGTCGACTCCATGCTGCCTTAATTCTGTTCTGTACAAATGTGTCAATACGTCGGGACAAAGACCCAGACAAAGTTTTGCCATTGCGGTTAAGCCAAAGTTAAATACTTTAAGCAACAGTCCCGGCCAAAAACAGCTGCAAAAATAATTCTTATATATTTGTACTGCATATAATTTTATTCAGTCTTTGTTCTGAGTTTCGGGGAGCAATTAAATCGCCTTCGGGCGAATGTGTTGCTCACTGAATTTTCCGCAAAAGTGTTTTTCTTGAGAGAGTCGTCTTCGGCGGCAGGAAATTGAATTATTATTATTGGCAAACTTCGAGACTGCTCGACGAAAGACGAAGCCTGCAAATGTGTGGGACTGGGGATTTCTTGGTATCTCAGCTGAGATTGACGTGGAAATTTGATAGTCGCAACGTTAAGCAAATGTAAATATAAAAATAAATCTGACACATTTTGTCTAGGTAACTCGACAATACGAGAAACAGCCGTTCTAGTAGCAAGTGCTGATTCACCCACAAAGTGAAGGTGATTTGTTTAATATTAATGGGGATTTCAACAAATGCAAAATTGCATTTGTATCTCTAATAGTTATTTACTCATAAAATCTTGTAGAAGATTTTTTATGGAATTTATTTAAAGTTTACTAGTTCATTTTTTATTTCCATTTGTGGCATTGATGTGCTTTCCTTGAATAAATTAAACCATTATTTGGTTTAAGCTCAAAAAACACTTTCACAATGGATTATTCCTTCTCACATTTATTGTTAAAGAATTATATTGTTCATTTCCATGAACGTAATTTTTTGTAGAATTTTTTTCTGATTCATTTGCATTTGTTCAATAAAAACTATTTTATTAGATATGCAAATGTATTACCATAATCGAATTGTACTAGCGTTTTTTTTACTTTTTTCGTTTCCGATGATTCTTTAATTATTTAGGTACAAAAATCGGTAGAGACTGAGCTTAAAACCTTATCCTGTCCAATTCCTAAGCACCTAATTCCGAAATTCCCAGCCATTTCTAAGCAAAGGAAACTTTTTACAAAGAAATTTGTTTACTTTTTTGTCATCTGTGTCCCACTTTGTTTTCTCCCTCCTAAGTTAGGAATTTCTCCTGCCCTTTCTCCCAAATGACATCTGTCGTCCATCTGCATTTTTGTTGGCGGAGTCTCTGGCTAATTTGCTTCTCTTTTGCTTTAATCTGGTCGAGTAAATTTACAAATTAATTAAAACAACAAACAAACGAGCAAAAAAAAAATCACAAAAAATGTTGGAGGGAGAAAGCGAGACGAGCAACAGTCGCGAGGCCAAAAGTCAAAAATATTTAAAAACAGGAGAGCGACCGACAAAAAAAACCTCAAAAAACACACAGACAAACAGCGAAATTAAGGCACTAAAAACAGAAGCAAACAACAACAATGAGTAGTTGAAAAGGCCAAAATACCGCGATGAGGAGACTGAATTTTAGCAGCAGGTTTTTCGGGATCTTCCTACCATGTTTTTACCCTCTTCCTTGTTCGCCAGTAAATTCAAGGGACACCGCAACAACAACAATAACAACAACGCGGAAAGGAAAACACAACAAAGCCAACAATAACAACAACAAAGGGGGCAAAAAAAAAAAACAACATTCAGGCCCGTCGGCGAATGTAAAAAAGTCAAAAGTGGCAAAAACGTTGGTAGATGGATGGGGCAAAGGACCTTTTTCTGTGGTTGGGCCGGGAAAAGCGCGTGGAAACGCACAGAAATAATAATAATAAAAGCGGGAGGTTCCATGGAAGGAGGCAGGTTCTGTTGAGTGGGGGTTTTTAGGGGAAAGGAGATTGCGGGGTTTTGCGGGGCGCTAGGCGATTTCAGGGAGCCGAGAGTAAATTATAAATTAACGCTGCAGGCGACGCGAGGTCAACTTGGTGGCGTCCTTTGCTCCTTCACCTCCACATTCTCCAGCTCCTCCATTGCTTTTTGCTGCTGTTCTTTGACTCACACACACACACACATACGCAATGGATAAATGTCCTTAAAAAAAAGTGCAGCCCTTTGCGACTACAAGATACCGGTTGCACATTGCACATTAAAAATGTGGTAGCTGTTTCAAGAATTTCTTTTAACTTCTTTAAAGTTTTTCTTAGTTTTAATTACACATCCCCAAGAAATTTATAAACATAAATACTGATAAAAGAATAAACCCACAGTAAGCTCGTATAACTTTTTTAGTGCCAAGTTACACAAACCTAAACAAAACATACAGTATACCCCAAGTTCTAAAAGTAATGGGTACAAAACAAAAAAAAATGAAAACACGAAAGACACACACACAATGGAAACTTGGCACGCGGCCTCAACTGACCGCAAAAAACATAACGAGAAAAAGGACACAGAGGGTGAGAAAAGCGGGGAGGAGTAGGAAAAGCGGAGAGGGGGCGAGAAAAAGGGGGAGGGGGTGGGTGGAGGTCAGGGAGCGTGGACAAGTGCTTCAATTGGCGTCGGTGGCGATAGTAAATTTTCTCCAGGTCCCTTTTTTTTTGGCGAGGGGGATTTCCCGAATTACCAACATGGAGTTCAAGTGCAGCTGCTGGTGAACAGCGAAGGGGATGAAAAACTGAAGGGGAGTGCCTGCCACCAGATGACATGATAATTGAAAATAAGTTCAGATTTGGCGAGAGCTTAAGGGCGGAATAAGCGGAAACTCCACTTGCGGGTTAATAAAGTTAGCAAAGCAAAACGAGCATGAAAATCAGGAGTTTCTGGGGGAGCTTAAACACAAAGGATTTCAATTTAACCTAAAGATAATTGAATAATTCAAAAATTATTCAAATTAAAGTTGGGGTTCTTCAGTACTTAAAAGTACTTGCAACAGCTTTTTTGTAAAAACTTTACTTTTGCTATACTAAACAGAAAGGGTTTTTAATAAGGGTTTTTTTTTTTTTAAATACAACTTTTAACAGACTTCTTTCTTACATATTATTTTGCATATCCAAAATGAATTTTCTCTTTTATAAAAACATTTTCACAAATATTCATTTGGTAATGCCTTGCACTTTTTGCAATTACTGAAAATTAGTGAAACATATTTTTTCTTTGTACATTAATTCCACATCATAGCATATTTCTTGGCAAGAACTTTATCAAGTGAGTATTGCTCGAAAGTTGCGCTTTTATTCCTGTGCCTGTGGGGAATCCCTTCCACTCCCCCCAGAGATTATTGTTCACCCTGCCTTGCATTCATACAAGCGATGTCCATGACAAATATGCGGGAAACATGAACATAAACCCAAGGGGCGGGGCTGCCGGGGCACGAAGCCCCCAGAGTGAGCACAGGTGTAGGAAAAGGGGGTTCCAAGGGGGGAGATTAAGGGACGGGGGGCGACACGCGTGCACAATTAAAAGTTTCATTGACTCGCAACATGGACATGAACGGACATCCGCTGACGCAGGATCCTTGGGGAGCACAGGGGTTCGGTTAATATTCGTATTTGTGCATAAATTTGTGCCTAGTTCGCTGTCATGATTTGAATTTATTCTGTAGATATGCAAATTACTTTGTTATTTAATCCTTAAGTGTAATCCGCTTGGCATCATCCTGAGCTAACATTCAGTTGCTTGATTTTCTCTCACACTGACACTGGGCCACAATAATCTGCGGCAGTTGCAGCAGCAACATCTCACGAGCACAGCAGCAACACCAAGATATATATTATATATATTTCAAAACAACAACAATCAGGCAGGTATTATGATAGAATTTATCTGTCCTGAAGGGCTTGATTTTGGGCCGCTTGAGTTGCCCTTGTGTTTCTCTCACGAAGTTGCAACAACTATCGACGCACGGGCAACAACCGACAGGCTACAAACGAACAAGCAACTTGAGGGATCTTTAGCTTTTTTAGAGGCAGTGGTTTTGGCCTTGCATTGGTCACTTTCCGCTCAAGCTTTAGCCGATTTTTTGACACGATTTCTGCACTGCTTGCCACAAAAACAACGACGGCACGCGACGTTAGGATTTTTTGGATCGAACACAATTTCAACACAACACAACGCGCGCCTCGAAACTTCGAGTACCACAACGCTTGAATCTCTCGGCAACACTAAACGCAATTTATGAATCGAGTCGGCATGCATCGCGAGTGGATCGCATTGGTCGCTAGTGGATTCTATGTTAAAAATGCGTGGAGAGTGCGGAGTGCGCAGGCGCCGCCTCCATCAGAGAGAAATTGAGAGAGAATCGGCATTCGACTCTGTTGTGGGTGTTATGTTATGTCAATATGTTATTATTTTATTCAGTTGCCAAAGGAAGTTGTTTGATTGCCTGAAGTTCTTGATCTTGTTAGCTAAAAATAAAAGATACATAAAAGAAATGCATAGCAACATTTCGGTTAAATGTTTTTATTTAAATTACTGTTTGGCGGTAATTTTTAAAAATATTTTTATCGGGCTAACTAAATTTTAATTAAAATAAATTCGGTTTTTAATATATGAAATATTTAACTCTTTATAATAGTATGATATTTGTCTTTTTACTTGACAAATATTATGAGCAACTTATAACTTTTGAGCCTTTGCTGACCTAAAGTTTAATTTGGTCATTGTTAAATTGGCCACAAAATGACACACATTGTAGATGACTTCCACAAACAAAACCAGACATAATCAACAGCTCCCTAATAAAGTCCAATCACAGAAGGCGTAACATATGTAAACAAATCATCTTAAGTGGAATAAAAACGGTTAGCAGCTAACAGAAAAAAGACCCAGAAAAATTAAAAAAAATTATATTTCCCTAATTGCTTAAAAATATGATAAATATGTTTATTTGTATTATTTTTATTTTTCTTTTCTTTATAGAACTGAACTTGCACTGTTAACTTTTAACATCAGCTGAAACAACGCTTCGGAGTAATGCCATCCACAATAAAATGTAAACAACCTGAAAAGGGGAAGTGGAACCTACTCAACAGTTTTCGGAATGCTGTTACTGCTAACCGAAAATATCTTATTGGAACTGACCTATGCCATCCGATATTCCCAGTTCAAGTTCCTTTAAAGACCAATAAAGCGTTTAATATAACCCCTCTGCATATTTTTTGTTAACTGCGTAATTTCAACTTTAATAAAATTTTATTCGCAGCTTAATTATTTTTACATATCGCAGCTGCGAAAAAAATGGCTCAATATACATTTAAATAAAGTTCAGGGAACTTAATTACGTGTAAGTGGCCACATTTAAAATTTAATCCTGCAGAGAATTTCCATTTTCCCCCATAACTCCCCAGCAAAATGCTGATGGCGATAAACCCGAGCGCGAAACAAAAGATAAAATTCAGGTAACAAAAAATTAAATGATAAAAAACGATACAAAAATACAGAAAATTGAGCCGAATGCAGAAGTTATATCAGACAGTTGAATCTGAAGGGCGAGGTAATCAGAGGAACAACAGAAGCCTGTTTATTTTTCGATTTTAATCTCGAACGTCGGCGACCGATGCAATCTGTAAAATGCGTTTTGCCCGAATGGTCCAAATTTCCTCGGGTTACGACTCTCGATTTCCCCGTAGCCTTAATGCAATTTGAATAAAGCGCCCAAGGAGCAGCCGAAAGACAAATGCGTCACCATTTTAGCTGTTAAGGCACCGAATTACAATGGCCGGAATGGTAGAAAAAAATAACTTCAATTTTAATGCCAATTAGGATACTTTTTTCCTGCCTCGGCGTTTTTATTCGAATGGAATGAATGAAGACTGCAGGGTAAAAATGGGAAAAAAGCGAGCGGAGAGTGCGTTGAAACCTGCAGAGCGCGACAAACAAAAGAAAGGAAACCTGTTCACCTGGACGGCAGGTACATATCACCGGTAAATCGGACCGAGGAAAAAGATTCAAAACTAAATAAAGCGAGGCAACGAGAAAAGCAGAGCGCAGTTGAAAGATTAAAATCAGAATCAACGTAAGCAGCAGCAGCAAAAGAAAATAATGCAAATTCAGATGAGTATCAAAAGTTGAAGTTGAATTGTGTGGATGCTGACAGGCAGAAAGAGGCGGTGAGCGGGGCTCTTTTAGGGGGAGTGGCACTGCAGCAGAGCAGCATCCAAACAAACGCCAGGACAAATGCTCGCCAGGAGAATGAAGATGACTCCCGGAGCAACGAGCATTCATCAGTGGGCGGGCCTCGAAGTTCACAGCGTTACACAACAAAAAAAAAGAAATAAATAAACATAAAAAAAGTTAAAGGAGCCTCTGCTGAATAGACCCGGTCAGAGGTCAGTGAACCATTGGGTTAGGCCAGCCAGCTGACAGGCAGCACAGGTATGTAATCTGCACCCACCTTTACAAATACACTCCACTATCAACGCGTTTCACAAGTTGTTGGTCATCAAGGAAATGACAGGTCTATATTGAAAGGAATGGGCAACTTAAGGAGAAAATAAATGGTAATATTCAGCAAATATGTGGTTTATTGGATGCGAGCGTTGAAAGAAATCAATCAAAAAGAAATAATAAAAGTTGTAATATAACCTGTTATAAAAAGGTTGGAATATACACCAAGCTTAACCAATTGATAAAAGACATGTATTTTATTCGATAAATTTGTACCAACATAATGTAAACAATCTCAAAAATAAGATATGCAAAAAGAAAACGGAAATAAAAAAGGTCAAAAAATAAATGTTAAACAATCAATAAAGAAATAAATTATTTAAAAAACCTATTTAAAATAGAGATTACTATCACGACATGTTATTTTTCAAACATATTTTTCTCACAGTGCAGTCAAACGCGGTCCAAAAGCAGGACAGTTGAACAACAAAATTAAGTCGGACATTTAGTTTGGATTATGCCAGGCCGAGTGAAGTGGAGGCCAGTCGAAAAAGTCGAGCATTTCGAGGAGCTTAAATTGTGTATTCCCCATTGTTTGGCTCCCTGCGCTCTTATTGTCGTTTCGCATCTGGTTGGGTTTCACTTGGGGTCAAAGTTGACACGCATTTGCATAGGAGAGCAGCAGCGGCAACAAAGAAATTCAGAACAGCCGGCCTGCGTTGTAATCCCCAAACAAACGATTTAAAGGGTTTGCGTTGCGGCAAAATATCAAAGTAAATGCTCGGAAAAATGTTTAAATGGTACGAATCGTTTTCTTCCTCAAATCGTCAGCTTTGGACCACTTAGATGTCCTTTAGGGCCACGGCTACCTATTCTCCTTCCTCACCATAATCTGCATTATAATTTCATTGCTGTCTCACCTGTTACACCTTCTCGGGTTGCTTTAGTTTCGGTTTATCTGTACGTCTGTGCCTCCTTTATTTTTCCCTCTGTCTGGAGGTTTTGGCCTGGCGCTTGATTTTATGACCCTCATTAAATGCGCTCGGCTCGCAGGTTATTTCGCGTTGGTCCTCCCTCGCTGCTGGAAAAACTCATTCGGATGCCCACCGCTTTTCCTTTTGTTTTTCCCTCGGCGCCGTAGGGTGTCCACAAATGGGTTCTTCGAACTCGGCATTCGGATTTGGTATTCGGGATTCGGTTCGAATTGTGTAAGAGTTTAGAAGACAAATGGTGCTTGAGCCGCGTAATAGATCAGCGGAATTATCGTGTAACAATGTGCTCAATCGAGTTGAATAGCCAGCTAATGGGTTAGTTTAATGGTGTAAGGGGAACTAGTTCTATATAACCTTTGGGAAGAGGTATAAAGATTTATGTTCCTGAAGTGGTTGTAATCCAGCTAAATGGATTTACCTATTATGCGGAATATTAATAAGTTATTTGTAAAGCATATAGAACAACACAAGAATTGAGACAAATAAAAATATATAAAATGGATATGATTTATAACAGTAAAAACATAAAAATCGAAAAACAAACGGATATCTGTTGAAAAACAATGTATTCAAGTTTAAATTAATATTTAATTCTTAAACATAAATACATTACATCTTTTGTTTTAAAGCAATATAAAATAATCAATTTGAATTTAAACTGATTAATTTTTTATTTACACAAAGGAAGCCACTCAAAATCTACTCCGTTTTTATGTTTAACTAGACCCACGTTAAATATTTCAAATTAACTTAACCAACGAAACCCTTCTAAATTTAGACCCTCCAAATTTGTCCTTCTCGCCCGACTTCTGTTCTATTGTAGCTCATTCAACAGTTTACGCAAATAAAACCCAAACAATTTTCGCCGCCCCGGAAAAAAGACTTCTGAAGCATTTAAAGAACACTTTTTCGGCATTTGCGTTCCTATTCCGCATTTATTATCGCCGGGTAAACAGTTCAAAGCGAGACAAAGCTCTCCGATGATGTCGTTTAATGAATTTTTATCTGCGAAAGAGACGGAATGCTGTGGCGAAGAAAGAGACGGGTAGAGCAGTGTGAACCGGGCTCTTGGAGGTCATAAAAAGGGTTCACAGACGATTTGCTCGAATTAATTGCGCTGCCATTAACGAAGCGACGTGGAACACTGGAACGGGAATGGCAATGACAGGCGGAGTGGGTGGGGAATACCACCCCAAACTGCGCCCCTCCTCTCCAGATCTCCAGATACAACCCCAAGTAGAAATTTCGGGGAAATTATTCTCGCTGGTAATTTGTTTTTAGCCTTTGTTGTTGACTATGAAGGGGAAATTACAAATTCGCTTGAACTGCACAACAATATTTGTTTATTTGATTTTATTTCGCATGTTTTTGTTCGGCTCTTCACTCCATTATTTTTATTTTTTGGACCCCGGAAATGTGAATTGAATTGTGGGTAAGTCAAACAAAGCAACAGGTTTTGGTTAATTGAATTCGGGCTTCTGTTCGGAGGGTAAAACTTCTCCCCTTTTGAGAACCAGAAAAAGTTTTCTGCTTTGATTGCTTGATTTTTAAATATTCCAGAGATTAACTCCTGACCTTTCTGGGATTTGCAGTCAACTTCATTAAACCCGCTTTTGTCTCTGAATATTTCCATCTATCTTAATTAAATCTGTACAAATTGAACACATGCGAGATGTCTATCTCGATCATTAGATGAACAAATTTTTATGGAACCCACTATCTGATTGGACTATCTCCGTGTCTTTGGCAAATTTATACGATGCTCGCTCACCTAAACTATCATTAGTGGAACACAACGTCCTGCAGATCCAACTAATTAAGTTTGATACCTTGTGTATCTCCCACAAATCAAGTGATGGATGCGATAAATAAGAGAACAAGCTTCTGATTCCCCAACCACCTACCAAATGAAACTATCAAGTGGGGTACAACTGATAAAAGAGTCATTTAACAATCGTTTTAGGAGGAAGGCGTTGCTCCGGCAGGAGCCCAGTAATTATCTACTACATCATATTCAAATGAAATGATGAGAATGCAATTAAAAATGCATAGAAACCCAAGGAATGGACCAGTCGAGGGTTCACTCAACTGTGGCTTTGATTGCTTAATTTCGATTACCTAACATCTCGACCCTAACCTCGGTTACAACCGCAGGGAGAAGTTGCTGGACAAGATCCGGGGAGCAGGGAGCTGGGGAGATTAGAAGTCAATCCAGTTAATCCCCAAAGCGCAGCTGCCAGATCATAAAAATCAACGAAGGAAAAAACTACAAAATCAAAGAAACCCTTTAGAGTTGATTCCTACACTCCGCCTCCAATTCGTCTGGAATTTTTATTGTATCCGCATCTTTATGGGCGTCTATTAATTACCCTTCGAGGCATTGATTTTCATGGGACAGCAGCGGCTTCGAAAGAAGTTTTGTTTTTCTTGTTGTTGTTGTTTTTTTGGGGAGCGCAGAGGAATGAAAGGTCTGCCTTCAGATCGACTCCTCCGGTGAATGACAAAAGTCCAAGGCGTTGAATTAATTTGTGTCCACAGTCCACTCAAGTTCTCCGTCTTTTCCGCTCCTTCCTGCCACAATCTCCACCGTTTCGATAAAGCGTTTAGTTGTGGTCGTCGTTGCCACTGATAAATTGTTCAGTCTGATGTTGGGCTTTCAACGCTCTTAAAGCTGCACTGAGAAAATATATTAAAAAACCAAAAAGCCCTAAAATATATCACCAAAACATGAAGTCAGTTTTCAAGAAGTAAATAATTCATATAAAATCAATCATAATTAATAATATAACTTAGATTTTAAGGAGAAGTTCTTCACAGTCTCTTAAACTAATCAACAAATGGATCTCATTTAATGAGCAATAATTAAATATTGCAAATTATTGAAGTGTTGAGCTCATTTCTCTCCGTGTATTAACCATTTCATTACGCGTACGACTATTGATGATCGGCTGTCGACCAAATGACCAAAGTCTGAGATAAGAGAAACCCCAAGGCGGATGCCCCGAGACTCCCTTGAAATGTGAGACCTGAGAAAATGCAACCGTTTGGGGAGATAAGCGGCGAAAAGAAGCTTCTCCATCGAAAAGGCATTAAGGAATTACCCGAGCCTGCTCCACAATATGCAGACGGTACGGTAGGTGTGAATACGCCCGAGAAATGCCGGCGATAAAGCGTAAAGTTTAAAATTTTAATTAAGCAAGAGCTTTGCAGACGGAGGGAGGCGAAAAATAAAGAGCCGAGGAGAACCTGCAGGAGGTGTCAGCTTCTGAGCAGCTTTAAGGATTGCAGCTTAAGTCGGTCTGCCTAATTGAATCCCGGCACCCTTTTCGGGGGCGAGGAGGCGTGGCCCGGCATCCCAGCCCCAGATATATTAAAGCGATTTCTTTGGCATTAAGCAGATGATATCACAACAACGGAAAACAATAACGAGGGCCTGGAGTTGATGAAGGTTCTTTCGCAGGGAATTAAGTTCGTTATCGCAGTCTGGCCTTGGGAAAATCAGTTAACCGATTTAACAGTTGACAAGGCGGAGTGACTAGAATTGATTCCCGAGGTCGAGGATTAAATACATAAACCATGTTCTCGGCAGAAGAATAACGATAAAGTAATGCAATGTGTAATGTGTGTAATGTAGTACTGATATTTACCTTATATGAAAATTAATATTCACGCCTCACTTTTATAATCGTTTTTGGATTGAGTAGATTTTAGATGTTGATTAGTTTATTGCTTTGGTATTTATTTTTAAAATTAAATAATCAGTTTTAAATGTGTTCTGTTAAATTTATTATTGAAGCACGTTCTGCAAGTATTTTTCGGGATCGTAAAATGAGGTCATTACGATGCGACCGCTGAACTTGCGGCCACTCAGCGCCTTCAGAGCCTTCTGGCATTCCTCCACGGATTCAAACTGGACGAAGACCTTGCCACATCCTCGCTGGGGAGATTTGCCAATTGGTCGAGGAATCTTGATGCTGCGAACTTCCCCGTACTTGGTGCACTCCTGCTTGATGTCCGAGAGGATGTCCTCGTACTCCTCGTCGTCCAGGAGTTCCTCCGGCAGAACCATATTAAGAAGACACAGAACTTCGGTGGCTGAGCAAGTGGTTGATAGAGAAGATATCCCCGGAACCTGAACCATTGGCATTTGATCCGAAATCGCGTTCTTTCCTCCGGCAATCGATCGCTGGACAACCAACTTGCGATCCCCCAACTGCATTCCATGCAAACTGGCAATTGCCTGATCGGTTACTGTGGGATCCAGATACTCGAAGAAGGCGAATCCCTTGCTCAAAGTCGTGTTGGCATCCTTCACCAGGTTGAAACCTCGCAGTTCCCCGAAGGATAGAAGGAGTTCTTTGATCTGCTTTTCATCAAGGCAAGTTGGTAAACCGCCCACGTAGATTTTGTGCGGAGAATCGGGAACCAGAGGCGATACAATATGAGTTGCATTAGCGAAAGTATTAATGGGCATCCTAAAAGAAGTTAACGCTTCGGAGGCACCAACATTGGCCACCGGATGATAATCATGGGGTCTCCGGATCTTCAAGGTTTGTCCGTGAAAATTGATCCCATCGAAGTTTAAAGCCTGCGTTGCCTCATCCATGGACCGGAATTCCAGGAAGGCAAAGTTCTTCTCCAGATTTGTTTGACAGGAGAGCACCGCCTTGCCATCCAAATGCTCAGAGCCATTCAATCCCAGTGATAGAATCTGTAGATTGAAGAACGCCATCATGTCCTCCTCGGTGATTCCGAAAGGGATGTTTCCCACATAAAGACGACGAGCTTGTCGAGTAATCATCGCAATAGCAGCAGATTCTCCAGTGGGCAGGGAATCCGGAACAATTCGAGAAGCTATCTGCCCACTGGCCTGCATTGCCTTGTACTGAACAGGAGTCAGGTGGTCGTATCCGTCAGGAGGAATGTCCCAGGACGAAGGAGGATGTCCTGCACGACGTTCCAGTCGCGGTTTGTCCATAAAAATCGTAGTGGAGCGCGTGGGACGAGGACGAGAACTGGAACGCGATCGGGATCGGGAACGCGAACCACCAAGTTGCTTGGCGTTCCAGTAACGATTATTATTCAGTCGACGATTTCTCATAATTAACCAAAAAAAAATCCCACGACAGCAAGGCTTTACATATGAGGAATAAATGCTCGACAAAATTGAAAGTGATATTTGACGTATTGGAAAATAAAATAATAGGCAACTATGATTTGAAGAAAAGCTTTCAATAAATAAATATCATGTTAAATGAAAATAAATAAAACATAACACTTACTTTTAAAGTTTTTTTCAAATGACAAATTGACTTAGCCACCTGACTTTTTTAACCAAATTTCCATTAGAAAATTCCATTCTAAATACCCAATGTTTATACTTAATTCCCCAAAAGTGTAAGCTTAAAGCGCATATAAAAGTTTCTTCTTATCCAAGCATATATATCAAAAACTTAATTATTAAATGCCAATGGCTTGCTGAAAGCCACAATTAAGTCGTTTATCATACATCCGAATAGTTTTCAGCTTTTATTATGATTCGTGATATCTTTCGACAGAAAAACGTATCTTCGTATCTGCGGGTGCATTTCCACCGAATAATCATAATCATCATAATTTTCGTTAATATCGCCAATCAATTATAATTAATTGGCAACGGCTCGCCCGCAGGCTGAATAAATAGAGAAGAAGCAATTTGTTAGAAAAACGCTTTTTGGGTTCATCAAGGGAGCTGCGTGTGTCTCCATCGCAATGTGTGGTCTCCTCGGCTCATCTGCCCTCAGGGGTTCTCTCCAGGGATGGAAAGGGGTCCCAGGGAACTTATCCTCACGACATTCCTTGGAAACACGACAACGACTTCATTTCGAACCGAGGGGCTGCTCAATTAATTCAAAAAAGGCGACACAATAAAACTGTCAACTCAGATCGGACAAAAGAGGGATTTTAAACTTAGGAAAGAGAAGCATTTTATTCAGGAGAAAAATCCTCATGAAATGCCAATTTATACCGAGGGAAGCCAACTTTCCACTTTCCAAAAAAATTTGTAAAACAAATACTTCTTTAGTCTGGCAACATCAATCATTGGCAAAGAAACTTGTAATTTATTTCTGGTTCACACTTTTATAAAGATTTTATAAAAATTATTCTTGTATTAATCATAATAATTTTCCTCAGTGTTGAATGCCTAGCTTCTACTTCAACCCTCTTCTCGATTGAGACCTCCTCTAGAACCAACTTTGTCGGACCCAAAACCAAGTGATAATTTATGTCCCAGTCCTCGATCGCCCGCGGTCTTTTGGACAACGATCCTTTATGGAGATTCTGGCATTTTTCCCCCATCAACCAGGATAATGGTCTACTGTTTAATGGCTATTTGATGGCCCAGCGATCGCGTACAGATAAAGAGATACCTTCACAGTCATGATTCAATGCCAATTTGACACTTGTAAAAAGGTGGAGAGAGGATGAGTGCATACTAAAATGCAATCTCTGTTCGGCATTAAGCCTAAATTAAATATATTTTATCCAGTGTCCAAAAACCAATTAATTCTTTGTTCGGGCGTTTCGGTTTGTTGTTGCTATTGTTGTTGCAATGGCCAGAACCTGTCCACAGGTCTGACAAACGCAATTAATTTGTCCATTTAAATTCAGGCAACGTCTCTCCCCGCCCGCCGACTTCGCCTCCAACTTTCTGACACATCCCCACATTGATGTCCATCGATGGCCGAGTCCAGATGATGACGAGACCTGGCTATCCGATGCCCCCCAATTTTTTCCCGATCGCCGGATTCGATTTTGGCCTTTTATTTGAACAATAACGAAGGCGATAAATTAATTTTTTCTTTAACACACAAACAACTCAATAAAAATTCATAACAGATTGTGCCACGTTTGAGCTTTGGGAACATGCACAAAATAAAAATCAGCTAAGAGGCAAAAGCCATTTAAAAATCGTTCTGGTCGAAATTTACATTTTTTTGTTTGTGCGGGAAAACATTTTTGAAAACTTAAAGGGAATATCGCGAAGATTATTTTGGTGCGTTTAATAATATTTTGGTTAGAGTTTTACTAGCTTTCTTTACGTACATTGAATTTGCATAACAATGATGCAATCATAACAAAATATTTTTAAAAAATTCCAACTGTTTTATCTCGAACATTTTAGATAGATTTTTTTAAAACAACCTACACGAGAAATTCATTTATTTAATTCATATAGCTACGTAAGTCATTCACACAAAAACATAGTGTTTTTTATTTTTATTAATCACACTCTTTTAAACCTTTCAATCATTTTGTTGTGGTTTGCCACCAGATGGAAATCTACTATCACTGTTGCGGTTTTGTATGACTTTTAAATAAAACAAAGGCGTATTAACCGGAAAAACGAGGACCGCACAAGTCGAAAGATTTGATTCGGTCGAGTTGTTGGGACAGATTGATATTGATGACATACATAGCGAGTGACCTCGGGGCTAGAAGCAAATTTTTGATGGAGGAGAGAAGTCCGGTCCTGCGGTCAAACCTCTTTCCACGAATTCGGGATCACAAAATAAAAAAGAAGACAAACAATTTTATAATGAACTTTGGGTTCGGGCCGAAATCATTGATGAGTTCGTTTTCGGTGGCACCAATTGATTTGTGGCCGTTAGCGTGTGAACGTGATTTTATTATCAAATATTTTCCATGTTGTGTTAGTTTTAGTAAATTAAATAAATCATCCAATGGCAAACAGCAAAAAGTTTCCTGTCCGAGTACGGTTTTGTCAACAAGAATATTTCAATTTATTTTCTGATGAATCAACACAAAATAAAAAGCCATCACGAAATATAAAACAAAATAATGAAAGCAGAAATAAAACAATTTTTGCATACAGCTTTTGCCCTTTGCCCAGATTGTTGTTGTTGTCTCTTTTTTATTATTCCCCATCTCCCTCCTTCCATAAATATCTCTCGAGTGCATCCGCAACTACTTCAGATTACAGATTTCAGCATAACAATTTGTTTTTTCTCCCATGTTTTTGGTTTTTTTTTTGCTTTTATATAGTTTTATGCAATTTCTCGACAATTTGTCGGAGGCTTCTTCTCGTGCCATCGCTTCATTCTTCAGTTTTTGGGCGAGGAATTTGCATCATAAATTGTCAGAAATGTCATAAAAAATATATATATTTGTACATACTGCTGTATACATTCCGTTCGCTCTTTGTTTTTGGCATCGCAAAAGGAGCGAAAGATATGGGAGGAGCTGGGATTTTGTGGGAGGACATTGACATTCAGCTGGTTCTTCGTAATTTCATTTCACTTCACATCAGAGGGTTCTTCTTTCCTTTCCTTTTTTTTTTTTTTGTGGGTCCATCCTTGTGTGGTGCAGTCGAGTTAAGCCTGAAGACACTGCTCCCCTTCTCCGATTTCGTTGGGGGAAAAGGGAATTCCTAATGATATTTTGGCCCAAATTATCTGCTTAGAGTTTGCGGAAGAGGAGGTAATGAAGTTAGCTGAAATGCAATCACATTGCAGCAAAGCAGGCGGTTTAAGCTTCAACTATTACGAGGATATAGCCATTCTGTTTATCCCTGTTAAGGCGGTTAGATTAACAGAAACTAGTTTAATGCTACCATTTTGTAGAAGAGTCTTTTGAAGGTGCATTTGAAAACTAAACGGATTTTAGTGCAAATCTACTAAACAACTAACTGAACGTTGACTTCGGTTTAAATATATTAAAATTATTAATTTATTTAAGCCATTCGTTTGGTTCGCTTGCTTAACTTACAATTTTGTTACCTCACAAAATTTTTTGTTTTGTGCAAAAACAAATACTATTGGATTGCATAAAACATTGTGTTTAGTAGGTAGAACTCTTTTAATTATTTCAATAATATTACTAGTTATTGTTTGGAACATAATCTGAGAATTTCCAAAGAGCTCAGCCCCTTCAATACTGAACATTTCATGTGTAACAATTCGACTTCTTAAAGCCAGTGCTAAAGATTATGGTCCGCTTTTCCATTTTCCCTTCGATTCCGAAAGAAACTATAGAAAAGTCTTTGTTTCAACCCCAGCGACAAGCCACAAATGCCATTAAATGGATTCCCCCATCGGGTTCCCCATACACCCCCGATTTGTAAGGGGGTTTAACCCTCCCCGTTTCCAGTTTCCCCTCGCTGCACTTACAAAATTTATATCCTTCCCTTCGGAATTTAACCCTTGAACGCTTCTTCTCTGAAATTGATTTCTATGCAATTGTTGTTTCGCTCGAAGACTTTGAAGGAATTTATGTTTATGTTTTTCCCTTGGCCATTCTGCCCGACATCGTTATAATTCAATAACCAGATTCCTTCGCCTCCTTGGGGCAAAAAAGGGAGACCCTTTCCCAATTGCTTCCCTTTGTCTCGGACAATGCGTTAAAATCAATTCAGAATTTATGCACTGTGGCTGGGTAATTTATTTTATGAATGTTTAATAATCTGTGCACCGAGTAAATTTATGACAATCGCATGTTAATTGCCTGCTTGGCGCCGATATGTCAGTCAACAAGAAGGATTCTGGAAGGGGTTTTCTTGCCTTCTTGGTTTGCCAGTGGTCGATTGTTGGGGGACATCGACACCCAACGAAGGAGCTTTGCAGCCGGAGTCGCTCATTTTGTTTACATTCAATTTCATAAGTGGCAGTCCGGAGGGGAATTTCTGAAACGGGTGGTGCTCCCTTGACCAGTGTTGACTCTGGTATCCCCAACCTATAACCCCCAACTTCCAACACCCAGCGGCATAAGCACTTGGCTGACATGTCAAACACATTATTAGAACACCCTGCTGACGAATATCGATTGGCATTACCATCAGTCATTTAATGACATGGGAAGCAAAGCTCTAACAACCGAATATACGGTCTAGTCATCAACAGAATTTGTGGCTTACTTTGTCCAGCAACATTTGGCCATAATCAGGAAGTGCAGTCTTGTTTTATTTGAACTTTAATGATTAATATCAACGAATATCGACAATTAGCAGGCAAATGTTTGCCATTCTTAAACTCGAATTATGTGTATTTTGGGATGAATAAATCAGAGAAATATGGTGAGCATTAAAACCAATAAGTACTTGCCACAGATATTTAAGACGAATTATTTATTTAATGAATGGAAACACAAAAGGCAAGGAGTCTGTAGAAGGGGTTGGAA